TCATGGTGTTCCTTAGCTGCTTCCTTATCTGCACTAGCAGCATCACCATGTCTCACAACACTATGTAATTTATTTCTCCTTCTGAAACCAGTAAACCACCCCTTGGTACCCATAAACACTGGCACTTGCACTGGGAGTCTTGGCTTTAAGGTCCTCAAACAATTGTCTGGCCTTCTCACAAATTATAGCTTCACTAATGCTATCACCTGCCATTTCTTTCTCCTTTATCCACACTAAGAGTAAATTTTCCGTCTCCTCAATCACATTAGACCTTGCTTTGCTAAGTCAAGTGATTCCCTTAGCCACTTGCACAGTTTTCAACTCCTCTTTATTCTTCAAAATCGTACATATAGTCAATTTAGCCATCCCGTACTCATCACTTAGTTTCGCAATGCTTGTTCCATCCTCACCTTTCTTTATGATTTCTTTCTTAGTTTCAAGAGTTATGAGCTTTCTCACTCGCTTTGGACGATTCATTGTTACAATTATACACTTGTATAACAAAATATTTATACAAATAACTCTATTTCCACATCAAAAGACGAAATTTCAACAATAACAGTGGTGCACTGGCTACACAATGAGACAAAGATGGCGCCTGACGCTCTTGTTGTGGGTCGCGGTACAACAATATTCATGCGCCAGACGAAATAGTCACGTATTCATCCGCATTCGTTGTAGGAGTTGCGTTCATTATAGCATTCTCAATTTTATAGGTAAAAACATTCGTTATAGGAATATTCGTAGTAGGATCCGTTCGTTATAGCATACTCCACTGTATGTAGAGTAGGTCGTAAGTCGAGGAGTAGCTGTACAGTGACCCCTCGTTTAACGAACGCCTCGGTTAACGAAATTTCGGTTAACGAACTGCCTTCCATAAGGATCTTCAATTCGGTTAACGAACAAAAATTCGGTTAACGAATTTCTTACGAACCGACCTCAACATGTTTTTGCTTGCACTGGCCGGGCAACCAGCTTTAGTATCAGTCCGCCAATACATTAATCGGTTCTAGGGCTTAAATTCCTAACTATTTTAGTAAATATCAAGAAGTTTATACTATTCAATAATTTTAAAAGTTTAATATTAAATTTTTTAGTCATTTTAACAATTATTGAACATAATTGAAGGTAAAGTGACTAGTTTAAAGCGCAGCATCCAGCCTCTTAACACAGCAAACAGGCGTTAGTCTCTCTGTTTTCACTGGAGGTAACATCTTGCTTGAGACTCTCTTTAACTAAACGCTTTTTTCTGTGTTTCCAAGCAAATTATTGGTCATTTTGAAATATATTTTACATATTGACAATATATAATGCAGTACAGTGTTGATTTAAAGAAAATAATCTTGAAATACACCAAGAGAACTAAAATTTTATGGGTGAAATGGTGCCATGGGGTGACTTCTCTTCCACCCCAATGCCTTCTCTTCTTCCTTCTCCTCCACCCCCATTGTAATTCCCATCATCATCATCATCATCCAGGAGCCTTCTACATACACACCTCAAAGTAAGTGAACTTTTCTACCATTTTTGTTGAATTTAGGAAATTTTTGGTGAGCTGGAACCAATTACCCAAAAACCCATTGAAACAATGGTTTCGGTTAACGAACTTTTCGGTTAACGAACGACCTTCTGGAACGGATTGAGTTCGTTAACCGAGGGGTCACTGTATATATATGTGCATGCGTGCGTGCACATATACATTACAATAGAGGTAAAAGAAATTACAGTCTCTAGAACGAATGGCTCCCTCTCCCGGCCGTGATAATGCTGGCAACTTTAAAATTACCCGCAGACGTTCTTGGATACATCCAGAATGTCGTCCGCAAATAATCAAGAACTGCGAATTGTCAGGGCATGCTGTATTCACTATTTGCTGTTTTGCAGTTAAGTGGTCAACTTTTTGTGGCCATCCATGTAAAAACTCCCCATTCAAAACCACTCAAAAACTCTGAAAACTCCTGATAAAATCTATGGATTTTTAACTGAAGTGTTTGAAATTTCATCTCTTCCTGGCGTCATGCATGCACACACACGTGTTGTCGCGCCAATCTCCCACTTTGTTTCGTCCAGACCAGTGCTGTGTTGTGTTTACTCCTGTCTTTTTGTGTCTTTTCTAGCATGTTGTGGTGAATTATTTTATAATTTTTTAGCCATGAGCTCCCAACCCAAACAGGGTGGTGCAGCACTCAAAAGGAAGTACACTAGCTATAATATATATGTAAAATTAAAAGTGATTAGGTGAAAGAAGAGTGGGAGTGGACAGTCCATCTAGTCCTGTTTTTTTTCATCCTCCAACTAATCCTCCATCCCCCAACAATCCAATCAAGCCAAACATCTCAACCTTTGAAGCAAAGTAAATAAAAATATTTTATTATGTGAAAATTATGTATTTTTAAAACATTATAATAAGTATTTTGTCTTGATGAACCACTGGAGTGAGTTTGCACCAGCAACGGTTGCTGCGGGTCGCTGGCACAACCTACGTTGCCTCAACACACCGACCCCAATGAACTTTAAGGATGTTAGATAACTTATAAAGTTAAATAATTTCTTAAAATAATGTGTTATCAAATGTTAACAAATCTCTCTAAGATAAATAATTGTTGAGATATATCATATAAATATTTTTTTGAGTGTCATGTACAATGTCATGGTCCCAATTTGACCTATTTCCATTCCGGTCCCAATTAACCGTGGATAACGAGGACCCCCTTGTAGTTAGTACTTTTTTCATGATGGTTGATAGTTTTTTAATGGTTATACAGTAGAGTCGAGTAGACCATTGTCATTCGCGGGTTTGCGATTCGCTATTTTGACGATTTGCGGTAAGCAAATGGTGGCTAGCTTGAGAGCCTTTTCCCACAGCGCAAAGAGTCACGCACCAGCAGTGTCTCATCTCCTTCTGTTCATGCTCAACCATTGCCTCTGACCCAGCATCTTGTATTGTACTCTCAAAACTTCAGTGTTTCTGTGTGAAAATGACTCCTAAAAAACTGCATAGTGTCAGTGTTAGTGATGCTAGTGAAGTGAAACATAAAAGGCAGAAGTCAGTGACGACCCTGACAAAGAGAAATTATTAGACAAGTTAAAGGAGGGGATGAGTGCTGCCGCAGTTGTTTGGTGTGAATGAAACCACAGTGCGGTATATAAAGAAGATTGAACAAACAATTTGTGATTCTGTTCAAGTGAGTGTTCCTGCAAGTGCTAAAGTAGTGCAGGTTGTTTGTGACAAGAACATAGTAAAAACAAAAAACACTGAACATTTTGATTGAGGACCAGCAACGCAAAAATTTTCCAATTGACAGTAACGTGATTCGCGAGAAGGCTAACGGTCTTCATGCCCATTTTAACGAGTCGACATGTGGTGAAGTGGCTAGTGCGGCTACTGAACCAACTTTTAGTGCCAATAAAGGGTGGTTCGAGAATTTTAAGAAAGATTCTTTCTCCATAATGTGAAGCTGACCAGAGCAAGTGTTTAATGCTGATGAATCTGGTCTATATTGGAAAAAAGATGCCTGGTAGAATGTACATAAACAAACAAGAGAGAGGCATGCCCCTGGGCTCAAGGCAGCCAAGGAAAGAGTGATGCTAATCTTCTGTGGCAATGCCACTGGCCATATGATCAATCCTGGCTTGCTTTACCACTCAGCAAACCCTAGAGCTTTAAAGAGTTAAAACAAGAACCTTTTGCCAGTTTTTTGGTAGTCAAACAAAAAGACATGGGTAACTGGGCAAGCATTCCTGGATTGGTTCCATAAATGCTTCGTCCCAGTAGTGGAGAAGTACCTTGCTTCCAAGAAGATGGAATTCAAGGTGCTATTATTGACAGATAATGCACAAGGCCACCCAGAAAGTTTGCACTTTAGCCATCCAGGTGTAGAGGTGGTGTTCCTACCCCCTAACATCACTGCTCTTATTCAGCCTCTTGATCAGGGTGTAATATGCACCTTCAAGGCATATTACACCCTACGCTCTTTTGGTCATATCCGTGGTGCCATAGACACAGACCCTGACCTTGATGTTAGCAATTGTTAGAAGGAGTACAGCATTGCGGACTGCATTACCGACGTCAGTGAAGCATTCAGTGAACTCAACCAGAGACAGTGAATGCTTGTTATTGAACCTTATGGCCTGAGTGTGTGAATAACTTCCAGGGATTTCTGTCCGTAGTAAAGGATGTGAATGACATTGTGAGTGTTGCATGCCAATTGGGTGGTGAGAGGTTTGTGGACATGGCTGCTGAAGACGTGAAAGAGCTGATTGATGGGAATGGAGAGGAACTGACAGAAGAGTATTTGGAGAGTTGGTAAAAAGTGCTGAAGAAGAAATTTTGAAATTGCAACAAGAAGGTTGGGGCTTGAACAGTTTTTGTGAACTATTTTGACAGGTGAAGATGGTAACTGATTTCATTGCTGACCACGACCCTTTCATGGAATGGAGCCTTAAGATGGTCCAAGACATCAACCAGATATTGTTTCCTTACCAGGAACTATTTAAAGACCTCAAAACCAAGACGAAGCAACTACCAATCACAATGTTTTTCAAGAAAGAACCAGCTACATGCCCAGTTGATTCGTCTCCCTCCCTCACTCACTCAGCTGCTACTCTACCTTCCTCCTCCCAGCCACCCGCCTCCTGGCCACGCACCACCTCCTGGCCGCGCACCTCTCCACCAACCACCACTGCATCACCCTCTTCCAACAGTGATCCTGATGATCCCCCTAGGCTTCAGTAACCAGATGTATCTATGTACAGTACACCATTTCATCAAGCTCCAAACTTCTATATACAAATATAAGTAGTATTAGTGACTCAAGTTTCTTATACACAGTACTGTAAAGGCATATGGTAATGCACTAAGATAGTATAAGTTGCTATCCTTGGAACTTAACCCTCACAAAGAGCAAGTGCTTACACTACTAGTTTGGCTAAGCTATATTTTTCTTTTTATTTCTTCTCAGCAAACATAATTATACAAGTGTTCAACATTTCCCCCACAGGTGGGAGACTTTGGTCTGGCACGTGAATATGGTTCACCGCTCAAACATTATACACCCATTGTGGTGACTCTGTGGTACCGAGCCCCAGAGCTTCTGTTAGGAGCCAAACAGTACTCCACACACATTGACGTCTGGTCTGTGGGTTGTATCTTTGGGGAGTTGCTTGGCATGGAGCCCATGTTCCCTGGAAAGTCTGAAATTGATCAGCTTAATAAGATTTTCAAAGTAAGAAATGACTGAGATTACTGTTAATATTATATTTTTTTGTTTATTTGTTTGACTAATTTGGGTGTTTGTAGTTTTCTTTTATTGAAGTAGTATATATGATATTTGGTTCTCTATGTTGACTCCTCCACAGGATCTGGGAACACCAAGTGAAAAAATCTGGCCGGGATATAGCCAACTGCCCCTGGTGAAGAAGACACAGTTTGCAGATTACCCGTATAACCATCTACGAGAGAGGTTTAAGACAAGGCTGTCCGACCAGGGATTTAGTCTACTGAACAGGTACTGATTTCTCTCTCTTTCTCTCTATAAATTAACCTCACCACCCCATCCCACTTCCCACAGTGTTCCTGAACCATCCTATCTCTTGCTCCTTTGTAATGCTTTTTCACTCTCAGTTGATAAGAACTGTGTCTTTGACTTAATGAATACTGGTTATTAATATTTCATTAAAATTAACTTCTATTCCTTCGTTTCTGCTTCCAATTACAGTAAAGCCTCAAATAATGACGGTAATGTGTCCTCCAATATTGCAGTGTAAGGTGTATTGACGTATCATGAGTCATTAATTACCATTAAAATAGAGCAATGATAATAAGATGCATTCCCTAATGTGACCTTTTCATAAATTTTGTGTGGCTTTTTACCCTCTTTTTCACAAAAAAAACGGTAAAATTAATGAACAAAAAATATTTTCTTTAAATTATGTTTATTAATGCACCTTATACAATATCAATCAATAATAATATGTAGTCAGACAAGAGGAGACAGGATGCCATTGTTGTTGTTAGTGTTTACACCCATGATGATGGTTTTCCATATGAAATAGAAGGAAATAAGACCCTGGTTGTAGCTGTAATAAAATTAATGCAAAAAAAAATGAATATGTACACATATGAATATGAAAGCAACACTTATTACTGTTCATATACATTATGTTTTAATTATGCTTATGAATGTAAAACAAAAGTTCTACTCACCAATGGCGGTAAAGTTGAAAACATAAGGATGCAGCCAATGTTGTTGTCTGACTTTTTACTCAGATGACGATAAAATTTCTAATTCATCAGGTTCTCCATCTGAAGCTACAGGTTCAACTTTGGCTAAAGCTGAACCTGTAGTTGTACCTGAAGTTCATGGTGCACCTGAAGTTGATGGTGTAGCTGTACCTGAAGTTGATGATGTAGCTGTGCCTGAAGTTGATGGTGTAGCTGTGCCTGAAGTTGATGGTGTAGCTGTGCCTGAAGTTCATGATGTAGCTGTACCTGAAGTTAATGATGTAGCTGTGCCTGAAGTTCATGATGTAGCTGTGCCTGAAGTTGATGGTGTAGCTGTGCCTGAAGTTCATGATGTAGCTGTGCCTGAAGTTGATGGTGTAGCTGTGCCTGAAGTTCATGGTGTAACTGTACCTGAAGTTGATGGTGTGGCTGTACCTGAAGTTGATGGTGTAGATGTACCTGAAGTTGATGGTGTGGCTGTACCTGAAGTTGATGGTGTAGCTGTGCCTGAAGTTGATGGTGTGGCTGTACCTGAATGGTGGCTGTACCTGAAGTTGATGTGTAGCTGTACCTGAAGTTGATGGTGTAGCTGTACCTGAAGTTGATGGTGTAGCTGTACCTGAAGTTGATGGTGTAGCTGTACCTGAAGTTGATGGTGTAGCTGTACCTGAAGTTGATGGTGTAGCTGTACCTGAAGTTGATGGTGTAGCTGTACCTGAAGTTGATGTGTAGCTGTACCTGAAGTTGATGGTGTAGCTGTACCTGAAGTTGATGGTGTAGCTGTACCTGAAGTTGATGGTGTAGCTGTACCTGAAGTTGATGGTGTAGCTGTACCTGAAGTTGATGGTGTAGCTGTACCTGAAGTTGATGGTGTAGCTGTACCTGAAGTTGATGGTGTAGCTGTACCTGAAGTTGATGTGTAGCTGTACCGAAGTTGTGGTGTAGCTGTGCCTGAAGTTGATGGTGTAGCTGTACCTGAAGTTGATGGTGTAGCTGTGCCTGAAGTTGATGGTGTGGCTGTACTGAAGTTGATGGTGTGGCTGTACCTGAAGTTGATGGTGTAGCTGTACCTGAAGTTGATGGTGTGGCTGTACCTGAAGTTGATGGTGTAGCTGTACCTGAAGTTGATGGTGTGGCTGTACCTGAAGTTGATGGTGTACCTGAAGTTGATGGTGTGGCTGTACCTGAAGTTGATGGTGTAGATGTACCTGAAGTTGATGGTGTAGCTGTACCTGAAGTTGATGGTGTGGCTGTACCTGAAGTTGATGGTGTGGCTGTACCTGAAGTTGATGGTGTAGCTGTGCCTGAAGTTGATGGTGTAGATGTACCTGAAGTTGATGGTGTGGCTGTACCTGAAGTTGATGGTGTAGCTGTACCTGAAGTTGATGGTGTGGCTGTACCTGAAGTTGATGGTAGATGTACCTGAAGTTGATGGTGTGGCTGTACCTGAAGTTGATGGTGTAGCTGTGCCTGAAGTTGATGGTGTGGCTGTACCTGAAGTTGATGGTGTGGCTGTACCTGAAGTTGATGGTGTAGATGTACCTGAAGTTGATGGTGTGGTTGTACTTGAAGTTGATGGTGTGGCTGTACCTGAAGTTGATGGTGTAGATGTACCTGAAGTTGATGGTGTGGCTGTACCTGAAGTTGATGGTGTGGCTGTACCTGAAGTTGATGGTGTGGTTGTACCTGAAGTTGATGGTGTGGCTGTACCTGAAGTTGATGGTGTAGATGTACCTGAAGTTGAAGCCTGAAGTTGATGGTGTGGCTGTACCTGAAGTTGATGGTGTAGCTGTACCTGAAGTTGATGGTGTGGCTGTACCTGAAGTTGATGGTGTAGCTGTACCTGAAGTTGATGGTGTGGCTGTACCTGAAGTTGATGGTGTAGCTGTGCCTGAAGTTGATGGTGTGGCTGTACCTGAAGTTGATGGTGTAGCTGTACCTGAAGTTGATGGTGTGGCTGTACCTGAAGTTGATGGTGTGGCTGTGCCTGAAGTTGATGGTGTAGCTGTGCCTGAAGTTGATGGTGTAGCTGTGCCTGAAGTTGATGGTGTGGCTGTACCTGAAGTTGATGGTGTAGCTGTACCTGAAGTTGATGGTGTGGCTGTACCTGAAGTTGATGATGAAGCTGTGCCTGAAGTTGATGTAGCTGTGCCTGAAGTTGATGGTGTAGCTGTGCCTGAAGTTCGCGATGTAGCTGTGCCTGAAGTTGATGGTGTAGCTGTGCCTGAAGTTCATGGTGTAGCTGTGCCTGAAGTTGATGGTAGCTGTACCTGATGGTGTGGCTGTACCTGAAGTTGATGTGTGGCTGTACCTGAAGTTGATGGTGTAGATGTACCTGAAGTTGATGGTGTGGCTGAAGTTGATGGTGTAGCTGTGCCTGAAGTTGATGTGTGGCTGTGAAGTTGATGGGTGGCTGTACCTGCCAGTTGATGGTGTGGTTGTGAAGTTGATGGTGTGGCTGTACCTGAAGATGTGTAGATGTACCTGAAGTTGATGGTGTGGCTGTACCTGAAGTTGATGGTGTGGCTGTACCTGAAGTTGATGGTGTGGTTGTACCTGAAGTTGATGGTGTGGCTGTACCTGAAGTTGATGGTGTAGATGTACCTGAAGTTGATGGTGTGGTTGTACTTGAAGTTGATGGTGTGGCTGTACCTGAAGTTGATGGTGTGGTTGTACCTGAAGTTGATGGTGTGGCTGTACCTGAAGTTGATAGTGTAGCCATATCTGAAGTTGATATACCTGTAGCTGAAGTTGATGACGTAGACTTTCGAATAATAAAACTGTCTAAAGAACCTTGCACAGCTGCTTTCTTTTTTTCATCATAAATCTTTATGTATGGTGCATGTGCATTTTTCACGTCCCTGCTAGTTTTAGTGCTTTGCTCTGTTGATGGATGCTTTTCAGAAAATATGTTCATTGCTTGCTCCATGTAAGCAAATGCTTCTGCCAAACTCTTAGTCGTAAATTTGCTAGGTGAGGTGGGCGTATCTGTTGGTGTGTTTGTGTTCTGATTGTGCTCTTGTTCAAGTTGCATCAGTTCTTCATTAGGTGGGTATTCTCCGTGACTGTTTAATAGCTCCGGAACATTCTCTTCATCAACTTCTTCAAATCGTACTATGTGCTTGGTAAGCTCAACAATATTTATTTGAATGTTTGTCATGGTTTCCTCAAAACCTTTGAAGGTTTTTATACATTCTGGTGATAATTTCCTCCACACACCATCCATATTTCCTTCCGTTGCTTCCTTCCATGACATTCCAATAAGATGATGCCAAAATTCTTTTATGAACAGCTCTCCAGCACCATCTGTTCCTTCAATAAGTTGAGACATGGCACGATGTAAATAATAGGCCTTAAATGATGATATAACGTCTTGGTTCAAACTATGGTTGAAGCATAGACATGGTATTCAGTGGAAGGAAAACAACTAGTACAAGTTCAGACAATTCATTTAGGTGTGCTGGGTGGCCTAGAGCATTATTTAATATAAGTAGTGCCTTGTGTGTCATGTTTTTCTTCGCATAGTATTCATTTAATGTTGGGCGAAATTATTTTTTGAACCAATCAATGAAAAGAGTCATTGTCATCCATGCTTTAATGTTTGACCGCCAAATTACTGGCAAATTTTGATTACACCCCTTTGAATGCTCTAGGATTTTCAAATTGATAGACAGCAAGAGGTTTGAGTTTAAAGTCACCTTTTGTATTACCACCCACGAAGAGTGTGATATGATCTTTGGCTGCTTTGAATCCTGGTGCAGCATTCTCTTCCATCGAAATAAATGTCTGGAAAGGCATTTTCTTCCAATATAGTCCAGTTTCATTAACATTAAAAACTTGACTGGGCAAGTAGCTTATGGTTTTAACACTTTCACTCTTACTTGCATTTTTAAGATAATTAAACAATGCTAGGGCGTTTGTTTGAATAATAACCATGCTCAATGGAGTATGCTTCTGATTTTTGTCTTCAATCAATATACTTGAAAGTTTCTCCATTTCTTCCAATTTTTCTTGCTTTGGCAAACTTTATTTGCACTTAACCGAGTTGTAGACAGAGCACTTTCTTTAATTTTTTCTTCATTCTTATGGATAGTTTTTATTGTTGATTCCACCATCCCCAAAGCACGTGAAATATCCACAGACCTTTTTCATATCGTATTAACACATCTAGTTTCTAGGCTAAGTTTATACACTTTCCTTTTGCTTTTGAACCAGCACTACCATCACGAGGGTTTTAAATACGAATTGTCGTTATTCGAGGCTTTCCTATATTGTACTTTTCTCTTATTCTTGCTAGTGTTATTTAGTATTTAAATTCATGCTAGTGATAATTTAGTATTTAAATTCTTGCTAGTGATAATTTAGTATTTAGATTCTTGCTAGAGCTAAATTAGTATTTAAATTCGTGATAAAGACAATTTAGTATTTAAGTTCTTGGTAGTGTTAATTTAGTACAGTATTTAAATTATTGATATTGATAATTTAGTACAGTATTTAGATTCTTGCTAGTGTAGATTTATCATTTGGATTCTCATTCCAGGTTCCTCACTTACAATCCCCCAAAACGCATTACCTGTCAGGAGGCAGTTCATCACGACTATTTCCACAAAGAAGCCCCAGCTCCTGTTGACCCCGCTATGTTTCCTACGTGGCCGGCCAAGTCGGAAAATCCACACGGTCGCTCAAAGAAAGTCGGGCTAAGTCCTAAGCCTCCATCTGGTGGCAAGAACTTTAAAGATCTGGTCAGAAAATTTATTGTTTGTAGTTGAGATGTATGTTGTGTATAGGGAAAAGGTGTTTGTGATTGCATTTATTAGAAAACAGTCACAACAGAGAATTATGTAGCTTCTGGAAGTACACCATTAAACTTATCCATATGAAGTCTTCTCCAAGTTGACACTAAGTATTAAATATTGTTGAAAGTTATACATAAGGAATTAAACATCTGTGTCTATGTATGATGAAAAAATTTGTTTGAAAATAGCCAGGTTATGGTTATTGACCCGAATTGTAGAGAATAATCCTTACCAAGGTGCTACTAGACTTTGATTTACAGTGCCCATGTGGCAAGTCTTGCAGTTCAGAATGGTTTGGGTTGAAATTTCACTCACTTGTGTGATTTTTTTATACTTTATTGTATGTCGATAAAAACAAAAACGAAATTAATGTTATACAGCTCCTCCCCGACTTACGACGGGGTTAGGGACCCAAATCCAGGTCGTAAGTCGAAATGGTCGTAAGTCGAAAATGCTTAAATAATACATAGAAAATCTAAAATGGGTGTCTCTTTTTCTTCTCAGCACCACAAAACTCTCACTGTTTAGCTTGCCAGCCATTTTAAAGTGAATTACAAACAAAAAAATTTTCAGTACACAGTGCAATCACTGACGTTGGGACTCGAAAATACGTAATTTGACAAAATTTTGGTACGACCGAGGCAGGTCATAAGTTCGGGTGGTCATAAGTCGAGTAGGTCGTAAGTCGGGGAGGAGCTGTCTAGTGGTCCCTCGGTTAACGAACACAATCCGTTCCAGCAGGTTGTTCGTTAACCGAAACCATTGTTTCAATGGGTTTTTGGATAATTGGTTCCAGCTCACCGAAAATTGCCTAAATTCAACAAAAATGGTAGAAAAGTTCACTTACTTTGAGGTGTGTATGTAGAAGGCTCCTGGATGATGATGATGATGATGATGGGAATTAGAATGGGGGTGGAGGAGAAGGAAGAAGAGAAGGCATTGGGGTGGAAGAGAAGTCACCCCATGGCACCATTTCACCCATAAAATTTTAGTTCTCTTGGTGTATTTCAAGATTATTTTCTTTAAATCAACACTGCACTGCATTATATATTGTCAATATGTAAAATATATTTCAAAATCACCAATAATTTGCTTGGAAACACAGAAAAAAAGCGTTTAGTTGAAGAGAGTCTCAGGCAAGATGTTACCTCCAGTGAAAACAGAGAGAGACTAACGCCTGTTTGCTGTGTTAAGAGGCTGGATGCCGCGCATTAAACTAGTCACTTTACCTTCAATTATGTTCAATAATTGTTAAAATGACTAAAAAATTTAATATTAAACTTTTAAAATTATTGAATAGTATAAACTTCTTGATATTTACTAAAATAGTTAGGAATTTAAGCCCTGGAACCGATTAATGTATTGGCGGACTGATACTAAAGCTGGTTGCCCGGCCAGTGCAAGCAAAAACATGTTGAGGTCGGTTCATAAGAAATTCGTTAACCGAATTTTTGTTCGTTAACCGAATTTAAGAATCTTATGGGAGGCAGTTCGTTAACCGAAATTTCGTTAACTGAGGCGTTCGTTAACCGAGGGACCACTGTATAATACTTACTCACCCTTTCTATTTTTAGGCATTTATAATTTTTTTTCTCATTCACAGGTTGATGGCGATGAAGAGCTGGCTGCCAGGGGGTTCTTCTTGGGCGGAGCCAGCTCAAGTGGACCTGGTTTTGTACTCAAGATGTGATCACAGTTGTGTTACACAAGGTTTATGAGGATATCACAAATTGTTCAGATGAAGACTTATATTTCTTTATGCAATAATTGGTTATTTAAATGGTTATTTCATCTTTTTTACCTCTACAGTGGTTAGTAGTCAGACCCCATCCATTCTATGATGGCTCATTGTTTCCATCTGTTTGTCATTGTTAATTTCACTTGACATATCACATAATCTCATTTGAAGCCTCACATGGTATCTAGATAATGTTCAGGGCTCTGAAATATGTTATGGAAAGCGGTATCGTTGACATTATGATGTTATTGCTGCACTTCGACTACTGTGATCTTTAAGCGAGTAATAAATTTAGTAATTACATCAGTCCATCAACAGTTAATGATCAACTATGGTCTTTAAGCGAAAATTTTTTTTTGTAATTATGTCTGTCCATCAACAGTTAATGAGTTGATAACATCACTTGAACTTCCTAGCCAGAGAGAGGAGAGTGGCCTTTACCCCCTCCACACCCTGGTAAACACTGGCCACTGTGAGAGGTGTCTGGTTACCAGGTTAAGTTGTCACATGTCAAAGAATTCTACAGGTTAGAAATTAACTCACTTGGCCGGAAAACTTATCATAGATGTACTGTATGTCATTACCACTGAAGGGTTTAAAAATAAACTGGTACAAATAACAAAGTACAGTACACTACTGTAAGTGCTTTGTTTACCCTACTCTTCAATCACACAGATTATTTTGTCATAAGTATATTCCCTTTACAGTAGTAACTAATAATGTATTTATAGCTTTCACTTTGATAACTTGCTAAAAGAAGTTGGGTAGTTCATTCACTTCTCTCTCTCTCTTTCTTTATAATATTTCATTTATTAAATTAGTGGTATGTCACAGCAGTATCTATTGTCTGCCTTAGACAAACTTCTTGTTTTTGGTGTGTCACCTTCAGTTTTGTGTGATGTCCTTTTCATGTTTCTTAAGAAGAAATTTACTCAGGAATTAGAAGTCAGATTGATTTTAGAAAACTAGCTTTAACAATTCCAAAATTAACTGGAAAAAAAATACCTGATATGAATATATACCGTATATCTCGGCTTATAAGATGGAATTTGAACATTAAAAAAATTTGCCCAAAGTTAGGGGGTCGTCTAAACCACCAAGTATAAAATTCTTACCTCTTAAATATTGTGGTTTAGTGTGTCAAGAGTGGTGATGGAAACATCGTAAGCCACTCACAAGGTCTTACCACTAATTATTTTATACTGAAACTTACGTTTGGCAAGCTGGATTCAAATTAAGATTACCGGTATATTAAAATAATAAAAATGTATTATAAACCTGTCTAACATACCGTAAAAGAGAATTATACCCCTGTAATAAACACAGCTATCATCACACACCCCTCCCCACACCCCCCCCCATTTGCCAGTGAGGAGACAAGAAAGGGAAAGTGACCGCGAGATTGGGCTATTTTTAGCCGTGGAGGTGGTCAGTAATGCATATCGGTATATTTACTGATAATAATACTTATCTCCGATAAATAATTAATTTAAAATTAATTTTTTACGAGGAATATTCAGTAAATGACTGCATTAATTCTTGAAACTACTGACAGTTAAATACAGACGCTTAAGTGACGTCACTAGTGTTTACACTACACCAGCTGGTAACATTTGATGCCATTACTTGAAGTGAATTGGCCTTATTTTAAGTAACTAACTATAAATAAATACAAAAAGTAAAAAAAAGATCAAAAGTGAGAAATAATATACTGTATGTATGTTGTGTTGTCAAAGTTAGAGGAACAATTCAAACTGCAATTGTGTGTAAATGAGGCAGAAAGTCAGGTCAGCGCTGAACCTGGGACTTGGTCAAAATTTTCGTGATGCCATATGGCAGCAGGGTCTACCATTAGACAACACATTATGCTTCCAATATCTCCCCAGGCGGTAGTATCTACCTGTTTGGTAGCTGCCTACTACCTACACAATTTTTAGTAATATTACTTTGATACATGATAAATTAGACAATGAAAATAAATATCAAATTTAATTACCAAGACGCTTCCCATTGGCAGCTGTAAGAAGAGGGGGAGATGGGCTATTTTTATCCCGTCTTTGTGTCTGAAGTGGCCAGTAATACCATATATTTACTGATCATAATACTTATCTCCTATAAATAATTAATTTAAAATTTATTTTTTACATAGAATATTCAGTAAATGACTTTTAAATAAATAAACAAATATTTCGGTAAATCTATTTCAAGTAAATGGAAAATAAGCAAACAAATGTTATTTACCACCACCCTTCCCTCTGGCTCAGGGTGAGATGGAGGGGAGATAAAGAAGGCTATTTATAGCCCATCTTTGTGTCTGAAGTGACCAGTACCCTAATGCACCATAAATAATTCATTTAACATTTATTTTTTGTACATATATTTTGTTGTATATATATATATATATATATATATATATATATATATATATATATATATATATATATATATATATATATATATATATATATATATATATATATATATATATATATATATATATATATATATATATATATATATATATATATATATATATATATGTGTATATATATATATATATATATATATATATATATATATATATATATATATATATATATATATATATATATATATATATATATATATATATATATATATATATATATATATATATATATATATATATATATATATATATATATATATATATATATATATATATATATGTGTATATATATATATATATATATATATAAAACAGGTGTGGCTTTAGATCTTTATTCAAGACATCTTCAGAGGCAACTGGATTACATGGACAGAGAGGGCTTAAATATACAGGGTGACCTAAAAACATGAGGTCAGGTCATAATGATGACATCCACTAATCCCCACACCAACACACACGTAGAGGAGCTTAAGAGAAGGGTGGTGACGTGACTAGTCAGGTCAGGTCAAAAATAAGGGACCCACAAAATAACTATTATACATCTAGATCAAAGGTTTTCAAAGCATTTTTAACCTTGGGCCACTGACAAATAAATTTATGTAACATATTATCAGTTTTGAACTGACCATCACTAAGGTTTATTGATTTTAATTCCTTAATCAAACTAGCTTCAACCAGAAGTCTTTCTGTGACACAAGATGATTTGAATACTTCTAAGCTTTTTTCCCAAGCAATGGGGTGATTATTATTCCTAACATGAACGAACAAGGCACTGCTTTCAGATGCAGTTCTGATATTATACTTATGTTGTTTGATTCTGAGCTGCAGTGTTTTTCCTGTCTGACCTACATAATTACAATTACATTTGCTACATGGAATACAATAAACACTTCCATTTACATTCAAACTTGGGCTATTCCTTATTAACATATTGGTAATGGTTGAGTCATACTTGAAAACAACATTAATATTTAGAAGCTTGAGGGACCGAACTAACGGGACAAATTCAATACGATAGGGCAGAGTCAAAATATTCTTAAGTGTAGGAACTTGTCTGGTTTGAGAGGAATGAAAGGATTTTTTAGCCCTTTTAAAACATTGATCAACAAACACAGAAGGGTACCCAAGTTTCTGTGCAATAGAACGAATGTGTTTCAATTCATCGTCAATAAATTCAGAGTCACAAATACGCAGACATCTTAGGAACATAGCAGAAAAAACTGACATTTTGGTAGACTCCAGGTGATTGGATAAAAAGTGAATGGAACTGTCTACCTGTGTGGGCTTTCTATATACCTTAAAGTTGGGCTAAAGTGTGACAAAAGGGTAATATTTGAGACTGATTCCCCTTTGCTACATTATACTGCACTCAGTTTTCTGATAGTAAGTGTCTGTGTGCTTATTCTTAACTTCATTTTATAGAGTGCAATGATAGCTATCCCAGAGGTGGATCATATTAATGTTTCTTTCTGCAGTGGTTACCCCATTAGAGGGGAGATCTAATGGCATAAGGTGTTACAGATAATATAAGAAGTTTAGCTTATTGTAGCAAAGTTCATTTTATAGAACTTAGAAAATGGAAGTACAGTACGGTAAACCCTACAAGATCCGGACCGGGGAAATCCGGATTTCAGAAGTTCGGGACAAAAAATTTGGGGGTTCTGGGCTAAGAAGCCTCCTAGAAGTTTCCCAAAGAAGCTTTCCCAAACTAGAGCAAAGAACACTTTAGGTCCATGCTAGACCCGTCGGATGCTTGGACACAGGTGCACGAGGAGGTGGGAAACATAAACCGAGTTGACAATTGTTGTTTGTGGGAATATTATTTCAAAGGTAAATGCATGGTTTATACAGTACTGTATATACAGAGATAGTGAAGACAATAAATTAAGCGAGATAGTAGTGACTAGTAACAATGTTAGTAAGCAAATAGACAAACTAAAGCCTAATAAGTCACCAGGTCCCGATGAAATATTTGCCAGAGTATTAAAGGAACGTAAGGAAGAGCTTAGTATGCCCTTAGCAAAGTTGTTTAACATGTCCATAAAAAAGGGTGTAGTACCAGAATCCCGGAAGATAGCGAATGCAATACCGATTTCAAACTATTAAAAATCACCTGGAGAAGCACAAGTTGATCAATGATTCCCAACATGGCTTCACAAGCGGGCATTCATGTCTAACTAATCTATTAACATTCTTTTCATCTGTTTTCTAATCAGTTGACGAGGGGCACAATTATGATGTGGTAAATCTCGACTTTAGCAAAGCCTTTGGCAGAGTCCCCCACGAAAGACAAATAAGAAAAGTGGAGGCTCATGGTATTGGAGGAGTTATTCTAAAATAGATAAGTGTGTGGTTACAGGACAGGAAACAGAGAGTGAGCATTAACAGCACTAAATCTGATTGGAGCAACGCCACTAGTGGAGTTCCCCAAGGCTCAGTACTTGGACCATTAATATTTATTATATACATAAATGACATAGATATCGGCGTAGATAGCAACGTAAGTAAATTTGCTGATGACACTAAAATAAGGCGTGTAATTAAATCTGACGAGGACTCCGCAAAACTACAGGAAGATTACAAAAAATTTGAATGGTCTGAAAAATGGCAGATGAAATTCAATGTGGACATATGTAAAGTACTCAGTATAGGAGATGTAAACAGGGAAACCAGATACCAGATGAACAACAATGTTATTGAGAAATCTGACTGCGAGAAAGTAGGAATCTTAAGCCAAGTAAATAATGTGTATTTGCTCGTAACAAGGCTAATAAAGTACATGGGTTCATACAAAGGAGTGTTAGTTACAAGACTAGCAAGGTCATCCTAAAACTATACAGTATTACCCCTAAGCTTTACACGGTTCACTTTCCGCGATTTCTCATTTACGCGGTACCTTGCCAGAACCGGACTTTCACTTTCCGCGGTGCATCTACTCATATACGCGAAGTATAATTTATTTTTTATTTTTTTTTATTTAGCTCATAAAATTCATACAAATTATCCTGCCAGAATATAATTTACATTGCTGGAATTCTTACAATATGATGATCATTTTGAATATAAACATTATGGATTTTGCATTAGACATACAAATTTTAGATCTAATGTAATAATTTGGTTTACACAAAGCAAATATTTTATCGTTTGTGCAAAATATAGGCGGTACTGTATATATACTGTACCTGTGT